TCCGGTCGAGTAAATCGCAGATGACTTCTGTACCAGTCCATACGTGCTACAAGATGATGTGGCAGAAGAACTTGGCGGATTGCAGGACGTCGCAGACGGATAGCTCGTTCACGCAATCGGTTACGTACAGTTCTCAGGCTTATTGGTAGCAACCCAGGGATTGTCTGTGCAGTCAAACCTGCCGTTTGGAAGCGATTTCTCAAATTGACAAGCCGAATATGGTTGTCCTGTTGACGTGACGTCACACGTGGACGTCCCGCACGAGGTCGATCGCCGACGTGGCCAAACTGTTGATGTCGTCTACACAATTGTGTTTCGGTGGACATGAAAACGTGTAGAGACAACGGCTTGGCCTATACCAGCTTGAAGCATACCAATAACCCGGAGGCGGTCATTTTCATTGAGCTTCGGCATAGCATTAATCACAAATTAAAACGTTATAATGCTATTTTTACTGTCTACTGGTCTTAACAGAGTGACCCAACAGTTGTAAACTAAACTTTCATTGGTGAATGGGGTGGCTGGACGAGAAAAACGTGCAAACTGGTCAACGCCTATAGAGATCAAACTGCACGGGAAAAACTGTCAATGACACACGGATAGTGTGTATGTGTCATACTCGGTCATGTGTGTGAATTATGTATGTACAGTTGGTAGTACATGTTCTATAACAATTCTCCGCATGCACAGTTTCTTTTTTCCGCTAGTATATTTTTTTAAATGTGACTGCCAATACGAAAACAGGGACAAATGCGGCTGACGTCATAATGATAAAAAGCCTTCTTAAGTCACGAGACATATTCTCATAAATTCTGCACGTGGTTGGAATGTGATTATTATTAAAATGTTTGTGTTTCTGTTCAGAAGTAGTTAATATGATTGTGCGATGGTTTTATGCTGTTATAAATCGAAATGAGTCGGACATCGGCCATTTAATAACTTGGTTTAAGCAGAGACGTATATATTACAGAGATTGGCAACTTGCTCTTTACCTTACCATTGGTCACGGTAACCGGATGTCATATCGCGAGCAACGCTTCACCTGCGCCATATTGGATATACGGTTCGCTGCATTCAATAATCCTGTCCTGTTCAAAACATAATTGTGCCATGAGAAATCATCGAAAATCAACATAATATTAAACATGTAGCTAGCTGAGATTTCAGATTTCACATCGTGGCTGTGTTTACATATCGGTAATGATTCTGGCTGCAGGAGAACACAAACTCCGTTTTTGTAGTTGAGATAATTTCAAAAAAGTCTTCAGAAATTTATTATTTGATAATATTTCTAACCAGGTTCTTAAAATGAGGTTGTTACAAAGCTTGCAAAATTTGATAATTAGCTCTGAAAATACAGGTTTTTAAGAATTTTGTGAGGGATATTTTTCATGACCCATTAAAACACGAACTCCTTTCTAATTCATTAAATAATTTCTAAAACATTTTCAGATATTTATTCAAACATAATATCTCTAACCAGCTTTTCCAAATAAGGTTGTTACAAAACTTGCAAAGTTTGTCAATTAAGCTCTGAAAATACAGATTTTTAAGAATAAACAACTTAAAATGGCGGCTTTGATGTTTGAGGGTTATTTCTTTCGTGACCCATTAGAACACAAACTCCTTTTTTTATTTATTCCATTTCAAAAACATCTTCAGTTATAAATTATTTGATAATATTTCTAACCAGGTTCTTAAAATGAGGTTGTTACAAAATTTGCAAAATTTGATAATTTAGCTCTGAAAATACAGGTTTTTAAGAATTTTGTGAGGGATATTTTTCATGACACAATAAAACACGAACTCCTTTCTAATTCATTATATAATTTCTAAAACATCTTCAGATATTTATTCAAACATAATATTTCTAACCAGCTTTTCAAATAAGGTTTTACAATACTTACAAAGTTTGAAAATTTAGCTCTGAAAATACACTTCTTTTAAAGAACACGAACTCCTTTTTTGTTAATTATTTAATTTCGAAAACATCTTCAGATATGAATTATTGGATAATATTTCTAACCAGGTTCTTAAAATAAGGTTGTTACAAAACTTGCAAAGTTTGTCAATTAAGCTCTGAATATACAGATTTTAAAGAATAAACAAGTTAAAATTGCGGCTTTGATGTGTGAGGGTTATTTCTTTCGTGACACATAAGAACACGAACTCCTTTTTATCAATTATTTAATTTAAAAAACATTCTTCAGATTTAAAACATTTGATAACATTTCTAACCAGGTCCTTAAAATGAGGTGTTACAAAAATTACAATTACCTGTCCAGCGACGACAGCCAATCTGACTCGGAGACTTGGGACTTCAAACGGAAGGAGTTTGTTTATTTGTAGATCTAGATTTCCCTTCAAAATAAAAGCATCCAAATTAGGGAAGGATTACGCAGAAAAGTACATGCAAATACAAACCCAATCTTATCTGATGCACCATTTTAATACTTGGCAGAGATTAGTATATAGCTACTTTTTAGTCATTAATCCAAACTTTTGTAGCCCCTTTCCACAAACAAAACACTCTTAATATTAATGTATATTTACATTTGCTTTGCATCCTTCCATTGTAATGCATTGCTAAGGTAAATGATGTTATGAGACTATAACAACAAAACCAATAGTCTGTGAATAGTGCAAACTTTAGCTGGGCTAGTGCATGTGGTTCTAAAATCCACTAAATAGTCCCATTGATTAGTCAAAATCTCATTTTGCTTATGATGTTGAGTGGTATTGGTTTACTGGAAGTGGCATTTGGATGTGGACAAGTAAAAATTGGAAACTCTTTCACCAAATGACCAACTAGTGGTATTAAGAACCAATTTCTAGCACTGCTTGTTATAACTTGATCCTGTATCCCTAACTGTACTACATTCATTCTTAATTATGCAATGAAGTTCTATTGCAAGGCAGGGACAGGTGTTATAATGTGTTCCTTCTCAATGCAGTTACCAAACCTTTCCTTATTCTTTTTTGACCCAAATTTGACCCAAATTTGCCAAAGAACACTCTGGGACATCCTTTATTGTTCATACTTTTTGATAGTGCTGCATGGCCACAGAACTGTTAATTTTGATCCCAGGACAACGGCCAATAATAAAACAAAACAGTATACTTTTATTACATATTCACCACACCTTTTTAATTGGATATGACTTTTTACTTGCAACGGGTTTTTCACTGTTAAAGTGAGGAATATAAACCCGTAAATGGGTATTCTCCTCATAATACTGCTGAACCTTGTCTTTCGGTAAGAGTGAGAATTCAAAACTTTTCGTTTTGGGAAGTCTCTCATAATACTTCATACTTATATGCCCCTGTAAGAGTAGTAAATCGCTTGGGGGAACCTCCTTATTATACTGCTGAATAATGTCTCATTGTAAGAGCGAGGAATCAAAACCTTCATCGGGAGACCCATTTAACACTGCAGAATATTGTCTCATTGTAAGAGTGAGGAGTCAAAACCTTTAAATCGAGTTTTCATAGTGTTTCTTAATAAAGTATCATTTTACAGTTTGAAATATATACCTTATTGGGAGACTCCTCATAAAACTGTTGATAAATAATGTTTCAGAGTAAAAGTGATATATAACTTTTCATGGCGAGTTGCCTTATAGCGATGCTTATTAAAGTCTTACTGGAAACATGAACATTGAGAGTTTTTCTGTGAAGTCTCTTTATAATACTGCTGAACAAATGTCTTACAGTAAGGTTGAGGAACTTAAACGTGTTGCAGTGGTTCCGTCTCAATATACTGCTGAGAAATGTCTCATTGTCAGAGTGTTGAATTTAAACCTTTCATCTCGTTGAACAGTGGAAACTATATAATGAATAATTGCATGTTATATAAATGTTATGTTTTTATTAATTAATTCATGATATACAACCTTTTTTGGATGTCAGCAAATATCATATGGATGACGTCACATACTTCCAGATTGTAAGCAGAATAATCAAAGATACCGTATTTAGTTCATTTGTTTATGAAGAAAGTTCATGTAGACTATGGAATATCATCTTCCTATATTTTTCCTGATAGATGTTGAAAGTTTGAAAAAAAAAATGAATGTTATGGTGTCATGATATTTAACTTACAATGTTGCAGTTTCGTGGGGAAAAGCCTGACATTGTTTTAGAGTAAATATGACCGTCACCTACTCTGAAGTTAACAGGAATTGAAAATGTCAAAAAAATAAAACGACTCCATCTGAAGAATAAAAAAAAACTATTATCACTGTATTTGACTATTCAATGGAGCCTGACAAACTTTCCGATAATCTAAGAAGCGTCGTAGGTAGTAGTGCGACAAATGTCTTACAAAAATGACTTCGAGTTACTTTAAATTTCTTCATCTAAAGAACAACACGGCCTAGGGTCATGATATTAGGCTGGATGCTTCGCAGGAAGGCGTCTGACAAAGTTTAGGATTACAAAATGACATTTATCTCTTTTCAAGGTCACAGGGATGATTTTTTTTTTTACTTGATGAAGCAAAACTTATAGTCATGTTATAAGGCAAAAAGCTGTATTAGATAAGGCCCGGTAACATTTCTTAACCAGTAATGACTTGTGCTGTCTTTTAGGGTCACACGGGTTAAATATATCAACATTTTGAACGATATCTCCTGAGGGTCCAATAGGCCAAGAGTCACGTTAGTTTTCTTGTAGATTTTTGACGAATAAAAGGGGATATAGTCATATTGATATGTTTAATCTTTTGTCTTACCCAACATTAAGCTGATATGGAGTCTTTGGTCAGCAAATAAAGTATGTATTGTTCCTTTAAATTTCAAGAAATATGAAGTTTGACCATTAGCACGCCTTGATAAAGGGCTACCATTTGCTGAAATGAATGACCTTACATAACTCTCGTGGTCACAGAGGGCAAATGTGTTAAAATCTTTTATTATGTTCTTCTACATAACAAAGACGAAATGCATGTAATAGTGTTTTGCCTTCAGTGTTATTTGAGCAGTTTTGACATATTTGACTTGTGTCCCCTTTTAACGTAATTGTATGCGATAGATACACAAAGTGAGGTATACGGGTACGTTTGGTTTCTTGTCTTCTTTCCACAAGACGTCACAATGAAAATAAAAACTAGAGTGAATTCCCTGCCGTATTTTTTCCTCTCTCCGCCAGGTGTCGCATCACAAACCCAAAAGGTGATTTTAAGGAGCGCATATTTTCGACTAGAGATGGTACTTAAGCGAGAAGCTCAGTATAGATTATTTTAAATTTTAACGACACACTCTGATGTCACAACAAAGAATGACGAAAAGGCATCAACGTTTTGTCACACCTGAGTGATTTTATCAGGTATGTTTTCAATGCATCTGCCACTGAATTGGCGTTTCAATAAGGGACAACAAGAAAATCAAACTGTATACAAACCGTTTTAAGAAGCATGGTAAGCACTTCAGCAAACTTGAAATTAGTACAAAAAACATTACTTTGAAAAAGAAAAAAATGAGAATGTATCCGAATTGAGAACAGGTTCAAACATTCAGTCTATGGTCTCGAATGTCGCTCACAAAATCCTTTTTCTTCTGAGAAGAAAAGTAAAAAAAAAAAAATGAAGCACACTCATATATGGCGTCTTAAAAAGCGTATATGCAATACAATCGTCATTGTCAAAGAAGACAAGCTTGAGAAAAGGTTCTAGATGGTGATCCTACTAATAGTGCTGCTCCACGAACGGTAAGCTTAAGCTACATACCTATCCTACTTGGTATATCATGAGTGTACTTTGAAGTTCAGCGGTTTTATAATATTGCATCTATTATATTCCAAACGATCAAAAACTGTCGAAAAATAACCAGTAGTCCAGATAACTAATTTTTTGTTAGTTTGTTAGTCTTGAAGTTATTGCATTTAGCTAAGGCATATTCCACTTCACACGTCTCGAAATTTTGTTTGGATGTTGAAGGTATGCAATTATGTTACTTAATGCAATTTTGATGACTTTCTGCGCTTTCATATTTGTCACTCATTTACGTCAGCGAAACAGCGCTGTTGTAGATGAACTTTTTGGAAAACAACACTGTGCTCTCCGCTTCGTCTAAAACACCGTTTTGTAAAATATATGATTTTCCCATTTGAATCGCGAAAAAGCCTGAAGCAGTCATTTGCAAACTGTGTTCATATATTAGAAATGAGCGTAATAAATGTTGGAAATCGTGGTCCGGATCAGCAATCCCCACCCTGCATATGGCTATGAGGTAAAATCAGGGAAATGTCAAAAGAATATCACATTCAGTCCGATAGCATAATGAAGGATATTATCATTTACAAAAGCATATATATATATATTGTAAAAGTTAGTTATGTTGGTATAGTAGTTCAGGCAGGTAAATATGGTTCAGGGTTTAGGTTGGCCATTGCATACATAAACATGCCGCTAATTCCTTTTTTTTCTCCCTGACCTTTCCTTTTCATATGTTGAAAATGCTAGTACTCTAAAGCAACAATATCCTGTAACGAGAATGATGTTCGTTTGATTCTTCAAAATAGCCATCCACGTTAGATTTTCAAGTTCCTGTGCTTGAATTTCCAGTCTTTTGGGTTCTATATTCCCTTTTCTGTGCTTCAAGTGTTATCTTTAGGTTTTCTATCTCTTCCTGTATCTTTTTCTGTGTCAGCGCAATCTTCTCTTCTCCTTTAAGTCGGATCTCATTTGCTCTTCGCTGAAATTCCTTTTCTGATGTCTCGAAAGCATCATTCGAGAAGTAAGATTTTCCTGTCTCATCAATAATAGTTTGTACCATCCTCATCAGTTCGAGTACGTCAAAGTCAGTTTTCATACCTCTAGGAGAGTTATCAAACGCTAAATATTTGTGACCACATCTCCGTAGAATATTTTTCAGTTCCTCTGGAACCCCGTTGACATACTCTTGAATAGTCACACCGTCGTTTTCTAAATCTTCTCTTCGTGTAAATAGTACGATCAGGTGACTGAAGAATTCTTCACCAAAGATTCGGCTGCATTGGGTGATTGTGTCCTGCTCTTCAGGGGTGAAACGCCCTACTTGAAGTACAAGAATAAAGGCGTGTGGTCCGGGAGTGAGAATTGCTATGCATTTACTGATATTTTCCTTGACAACGTCGTTGGATAATGTCGTGTCATACAGTCCCTGAGTGTCCACTACCACCAACTTCTTGCCAAAGCGCTCCGCTGTATGGAATTCACATCTCTTTGTCTCTGAAGACCCGGACAGTTTAGTCGTAAATGCTTTCTTACCAAGAATGTTGTTTCCGGTTGCACATTTTCCAGACCCTGTTCGTCCTATCAAAGCTATCCGGTACTCGTGTTCTACTCCGTATGAAGTATTTCGATCTATAACAAAACATACATCAAACATAAGTGTGTGGAACGTGGGAACAGTGAAAAATAGGTTAAACTTGTAAAGTTATATCAGCTCCAAGTATTATTGCCTGGATTGTGAGACAACTAAAATTACAACGACAGAATATTGTAAATGCATCAGAAAATGTAATTGAAGTTTCAATGAAGGAATATTACAATACTATGTCTTATCACAATTCGATTTGACTTTTATCCATATAGATAATCAGTTATAACATTGAGGACCTCTCTCTCTTCCTGTCCTTTTCTCTCTGAGTGTCTCTCTGTCTCTCTTTTCATGTATCTGTGCATGTGTACGTGTGTGTGTGTGTGTGTGTGTGTGTGTGTGTGTGTGTGTCTCTCTCTCTCTCTCTCTCTCTCTCTCTCTCTCAATTCGAACTCTGTAAACCTGTTTAATAAAATACATACCACTCACAGCCATATTTTCCGTGAGCTTTGTTATCTACAAACAAAGGGAGATAATTAGATATTATTAAAGTATGTAATTTAAAAAAGACAGATAACTTCGAGTATTCACATGTTGTAAAGTCTGCAGAATCAGTATTATTTTTTATTTTTATACCTCTGTTAAAGATTTATCTATCCAATTAATGTATGACTACCAACTAATTTATATTCTTGAAATAAAAAAAAGCTCTCGGTGATTTTCTGCTTTAATTTTATATACAACATACATGTTCCTTTATTTTCTATTTTAGTTAGCAGAGACTTACAACCTATGAAATATTGGGGGAAATATTGTTTGAATTTTGTTAAGTTGTAACAATTTGATGTTCCCTAATTACTTATCTTAAGCACTGTTATACATCAGATAATATGACACTATAGCTAAAAAGGCATGGAAAAAGATAAAAACAAGTGCTGAATTATATACCATTTTTTTTTAAACTTAATTAAAAGAGTTGATTTTCGTTTTAATTAAACATTAAAGGCAAGGATAGATGTGAAAATGTCCCTGCATGTTTAAATGGAGAAATAACTCAGGTATTTCAGGTTAAGGAAAAAAGTGATGGGAAAAATTTGAACAACACCTTATCATGCCAAGCATACTAAAAAGCGAAGGACAAATCTATTTTAGCATTGCATTTTATTCTGTATGTTTAAAGAAAAAATAAATATACATTTTAGCAGTAATTTATAGCAATCTGAAATATATCACGTAGCGCTCAATTAAGTGTTATTTCTACCACAATACGCTGTGTTATTCCACTCTCAGATCATTGCATTAACACCCAAAATGTTGGATAAATATGAGTTATATACCACACGTGGCCTATGACCTACACGAGTTTTGATTAGTCGAGAAGATGAACTTTGACCGGGACGACTTTTTCCACGCGCTTTTTGCTGCCACTTACTGTTTTGTTTACGTCGTCTGCTGTCAACATCCGATAATGTTGGTGACTTTATGAGGTTATGCAGAAAAGGGTGTTATTTAGGAAATATTAAAAGAAGATGATACTTAAAGATTTGATCGCTAGTTTCAGGAAAAATTACTACAGACGCTCGATATCGATTCGACGTCCCATCATCGCGTATCCTGAAACCAAAACTAGATCTGTCACAGTGTCGGAAAATATTTCGTTCTCCCAACGTCCCGTTATCGCTATTTGGACGGTCTGACTATGGCTGAACTTTCACTATAAACGTCAACCATAGAACCGTCACGAAGAAGCGTCCCAGGCCTATGGTTTTGGACATTGACAGCGATAAGTTCGTCTTCACTACTTGGCAGGAGGCAGACTTCGTACGATATGCTTACGCACATATAGTCCGTGGTTAATTTATATAAATAAATGCAATACTGCTACTCTCAATATTTAAAGTGGTTCAACTATTCATTTTTTCATGAAGTTGTTGCCGAAACATTAATTTTGACAACTATTACATTGTTTAAAAAAAGTCATTTTTGAATAGTAATGAGTGACTTTTTACATATGGGTCACTACGCCAGCTTTGTCAACAAACACATGCGTGTATGTTTTTTTCCGACTAATCATGAGATTGTGGTAGAAACAGATCACACGACTCGTGGTTGTTGAGTATGGTTTTTATTTCACTCTCGTCAGTTAATTTTTAAAAGTTACAGAAAGACACTCGCTAAAGCTCGTGTCTTTTGTAACTTTTGAAAATTAACTAACTCGAGTGAAATAAATACCATATTCAATAACCACTCGTTGTGTAACCTCTATTTATCATATACTTAATATATATAAATGGCCGATCAATAAAACTCTAATCTAGGAAGACGTCCAGAAAGAACAAAAATTTCGTCACAAACTATTGTTATACACTTTAACACTGTATATATATCATTGTCAAAATCGACATGAACACTTTTGTAACTTGGATATAGCAAATTGATTTACACAAGTAAATGGAACTTACCAAGGGAGCACAAAGCTTTTCTGTAACTGCTGGGATATCTCCGAGTAACCAGCTGCAGGTCAACGTCACACCGGGTCGTCTGTATGCACTCTCGAATGTATTAAGATTGTCCGCTTTTTTTAGACGACATACCAGCGTTCAAGTGGGTTTTCCCAGTATTCTCACATTTCCTTTCAGAGAAATTTCTTACATGATGATTGTCATTATTGTTTGTAAACACTCGAACGCTTTTCAAAATATATGGCAACCTAACTCAGTATTTTTCATGCATTGAGGAATATCGATCTTTAACTTCTATTATATATTTGCTATATCATTTAATAAAATGAAAAGATTCTGTTTGTCGGTTTATGCATCATATTAACAGCTAAGCTCGTTAAAGGACGTGTGTTGTGTATGATATGTATGCATGTGTGCTGAAGGCGGTATATTTAAACCCTATAAACCAGGCTACAATTGAGTGCAGACGTAAAACCCCAGTGCGACGGTAGACTGCAGTTGGTTGTAAGGAATACCTTTGCAGACCCATGAATGATTCGTTCTGACTTGGTAAGGTTCAATGTCAAAAGGAAATCACTTTTTCTTACATGCTGTTTCTACCTTGGTTACATTTTGTTATTAAATCTAGAAAATCCGTTATTACTAGAGGAACAACGAATCCTTTCTAGTAATGAGGCCTGTTATATATTTTAGCATTATGTTTTAAAACGTCTCATAGGACACGTTCCATATAGCAGTGGGTAGTCTGGTGGCGCAGTGGACAGCGCACTTACCTTTCACCAAGGCGGCTGGGGTTTGGTTTCCCAATCAAACGTAAAAAGGTATTAGGGGTCACCTGCACAACCATGTAGGTTTTATCCGGTACTCCGGTTTCCTCCCACATTAAGACTTATTAATTATGAATAGTATAGGTTGAAATCAAAAAAAATAATGTGTATCTTTACATTCCGTAGCCTGAATAGGTTACAGGTCTCCATAAACATTTGCTGAACGGGCAAGATTTGCTAATTCCGTGGCACATCGTCTATTTTAAGTCAACCTTACATTTTAATCGATTCCATGCCAAACACGTTTATGGAATTTAACTGAATATGGCATGAAATATCCCTGAGAAAAGAGGATTAATGGTTATATATACGGAATGTGTATTCCCTCTTTGGCCAAAGGAAGCTTAACGGAACTTGAGTTATTTTTAATGATCTCTTATTTAGAACTGGAAAAAGACTTGAGCCCGATTCGGCATTGAAATCGTAATATTCCGATATAATGGCGATTAAAAAAAATAACTTTTCGTCTTTTTCATGTTCCCTTTATTGGGGTATGTGGCAGGGTACCTGAGCAAACCCGGGGCGAGAATAGTCCTGTTGTATCGCACAGCATGTATTAAGTTCCGACTTATCTGGGCCCCTGTCCAGGAATCGGGTTTTTTTCGGTGTTTCCTTTCCAGAAACCTTCCAAGAACAAATACTAATGATACACTTTATTTTCTGAGAGAATAAAACATGTTTAGCAAAGCGTATATTCCACAGGTTCCTCTTAGTAAAATATCAGTTTGTAAAACAACATAGTACAATTTCATCATTATCAAAGACAGAAAAGTAAAACATATTTTACGAATAAATTGTTTGAAAGGATATTGGTACATGTAACAGCTCATAAAGATCATGGCTTGTATATTAAACAATTATAACTATGATTAACATGCAGGTAGTCAGAACAATAATGATCACAATTACTATGCTAAAAAGAGTGGGAGTAAACAGTTAACAGTAAACAGTTAACAGTTAACAGTAAACAGTTAACCAAATGTCCCTTCATTGCAACACTAGCAATCTACATCTAATTGCTTTTCTCCTTTCGGTAGTGTCTCCATTGGCACGTTAAACCCCCCACAAACAACCAGACATTGTTCGAAACTATTATAACAATAGGCAAGAAAGAATGATCACATAGATTGTGGGTTAATACTTATTATTATATGCATGAACATTTCTCGCAATCACTTTGGACGGATCCTATACACGTGACCAGTCCTCAAAAACTCATGTAGACTGGTTATCCGGTGAATATCAATTTCTAAATATAGCCTATATGGAAATTCCCCCGATCCTGTCGTAGCGCATGCGCAGTTATACCGGAACGCGATCTGTCAGATGACAATAGAATATGGCTGCTGGCGAACGTTTCTCCTCCGTTACATCAGAACATTACCAAAACTATTCGAGTTGAAATATGCTGTTAACATAAAAAAAAAAGGCCATTGAACACGCAGTGCATGTCCTCCATGCTTATCTTAAGAAAAAGAACCTTCGAAAGCTACAATGCTGAAGTGTTGAATTTGAACCTGGCTAAATTGTACACGGAGACTCGCGTACGAAAATCAGGACCTTGAGTTTTGTTTTATTTTATCTTATTGTTGAAGCATATAATAAAACAGTAATGGCTTTTGTGCTGGTAAATATTATGTCAATATCACTTTTTCAGGGTCATCTCACATCATATTCACCAGCACAAAAGTCCATAATTGTATATTGTATTATGAGTATCTGGTTATTTGTTATCAGATTTACAGGAAGCGATGAAGAGCATTTTGTGTATGTCGGTGTGATCAGGCACACTTGCCAGTATCAATTGATTTTGACCAAGCAAGGCTACGGAGGTGAAGTACCCACCGTATTGACACAATCATTCCCTTGGTGTTGACACAAATTTAGCACAGTATATATGTACCATGGTGGTCGGATATCGCAGTGGATAGCCCACTTGCCTTTCACCAGGGTGGCCAGGGTCGATCCCCCGATCGGACATGATAGTTATGGGGTCTACTGCCCAACTGCCTGGGTTTTCTCCGGTTGCTCCATTTTCCTCCCACATTCCACATTATGCCCCCCCC